GCGTTTTGACTCGAATTATTGCTCACCAGGTGCTTTTGTCCGCTTATTATACTCTTCAATAGTAAGGCCAAAGGTTATCTTGATTCTCTTTATCTTATTTCTATTATTGGAGGATAAAATGCGCTATTATAGCTCTTGAAGTGCTCAAGGTCAACGACAATGTGTCACGCTAGGGACGCCATATTGGTTTGTTTAGACCACAGAATTCCGGTGCTATGGAAACGTGACGTAAGCACTTTAGGACTCTAAAGAGGGGCGGTAGATCAACTACGCAGAATGTCAATACGATCTGAAATTCTCAGAAAAGCAGTCCAAAAGTAAACAATTTTTCTGAGAAAGACGGGGCAACGCACTCTACTCCGAGGGTACTATGGTCAGGAGCCTTTCATCTTAAGACAGACATTGACTTCATTTTTACTCTCCCTTCCCACCTCAAAAAGAACACGCGTGATCAGCAGACATTAAGCCAGAGCATTAATGCAGGATATAGATAACTTTAGTTCATTCCCTTTTTTGTTGTCAACGTATATCATGGGGATTCTTTGGTTCTTCGCGATTTTGTGCGTTCTTCAATCGAACATCTTTACTGGTAAGTAATGTTCTTAATCTTGCGGATCTCCCGTTCGGCTGCAGTTGACAAATTTTCTGCTCTAGTTGAATAACACAATAGTCAAATTTCGATTTGTTGCGAGTCTGATACCTTCGGCTCATTCATTTTATAGTGTCGACAACGTATATCATGGCTAGCTGTTGGTTCTTTGCGATTTTGTGCGCTCAGCAATCTAACATCCTTCCAAGTAAGCAACGTTCTTAAATTTGCGGATCTCTCTCGTTCGGCTCCAGTTGACAAATTTTCTGCTCTAGTTGGTTAACACAATAGTTTTCTATTAAGATTTTCCTTACAATTCAAGTTTCGATTTGTTGCGGTTCTGGTTTTCTTTTTTTATAGTCGATAAACTTTTCAAATCATTTCCTAGGTAAAAGCTATGTCTGCATTTGAACCAAACTTTGAAACAGAGGGCGCATTAAAATTAGAGATCTTGGTAACAGCCTTTTAATCGACTGATTATTGGAACTTGAAATATCGAATATTCTCATTCTAAATATGTTTTTCAGTTACATTTAAAGTTCAAGGTAAATACAGTGTAGTTCTAGAAACTTGGCTGCGTATAAACTAACTCCTGGTGACGTCTATTTGATCGCAGTTCTTTGTCAATCGTACGTAGAGCCATGCAGATCTTTCTTTTCGGTACGCATACACTCTCGAAGGTAAAATTCTCAAGCCTGTGGTTTCGATGAAAGATTGTGGTCATGCCTTACAACTATGGAAGAATAAAATCTATATTTAAGATTCATCGACAAGAATATTATCTACGAGTACTCGTTGTCTGGTCATACGCTTCACTCCGCTTTTATGTAGTTAGGGGCCTCAAGGGTTTCGAGCTACCTATTCACAAGCACGCGTGTTTGCCACAGAAATAAATTATAGCTTTTAAAAAGTAAATGACTTAGTTTCAAGGCTGCTGATCAATAGTCACTTTAGCCTTTCCACCTTTCTTCGGACGAAGGACTGCAAAAACTCGAGCCAGTTATATTTCCAGTAGTACACAACATGGCGGATCACTTCACCGCTTTGATAAACACTTAAGTCGGTGTTTTATGACTCGCCCCAAAGATACGGCAAAACAATTTCCTAACAAAAACTAATTATTTGTACATTTCTTCAGTGTGGATTTCACACTATTCCGGCTTTCTGAAAATATGACTTATAAACATTTTATTTGAAGAATTTTAATCTTGCTCTCGGTGTTTATTTGGCCCATTTCTCGAGCGCGGAAGCTTTAGAACAAGTAGCTAAATTTAACTATGTAAATAACATTTCCTAAAAACTGAGTACAGNGCGGGAAAGAAATCATCTGATTCAATGGTAGTAAAAAATGTTAGAAAAAATGGTTAAAACAGCGTAAAATCCTTCTATTTCTTTACTTCTACTTTAGAAAAAGTCATGGAAATGTATTTTTCATGTAAAGAGGGCGAAAGAAAGTACAAAATGGGCAAAATAGTGACTAAATTCCAACACGCGTGCATTTCATCATGTTGTTTACACAATCCCTTACCTCAACTCTTCCTCTGAATCACTGTTTCCTTCGATTTCTTGGTTTAATTCGTACTCTTCTCCGCTGGAAATTCCCCCAGTCTGACTATCAATATCACTTTCAGGGTCACTATCGCCTCGAGCACAAATTTCAGCTACTTCTTCAGCCGTGAAACACACACGCGGTCGCTTGCTTGAAGACGCCATTTTGAAAATGCCCTTTCGTGTCACGCCACTTTTCCTCAAGGTGAATTTCGACTAACCAATCAGGTATATGGGTGGCAAAATGCTTTTCATTTGATTGGCTACATTCACTGACTATTTTTAGCGAAAAATTGGTTAGGTAACGCAAAAAACCATTGTTCTAGAGACGAAAACGTCATCGTTCCTCGGGTTTCGATATTTACGAGGTCCGTCACCAAAGGGTTAATCTTGCTCTCGGTGTTTATTTGGCCCATTTCTCGAGCGCGGAAGCTTTAGAACAAGTAGCTAAATTTAACTATGTAAATAACATTTCCTAAAAACTGAGAACAGCATTTCTGAAAAAAGTAAAACTTCCTTTCGAATTCTGTGGTCTTTATTTTCATGTGCTTCCCGTGAATAGGACATGTTTTTGCTATATTCGATTGAGGAAACAGCAGTTTCGCTCCTGATCCAGTTCTTACCGTTCGAGCTCGCCTTCAACTTTCGAGTTTCATTTCGCCCCACTAAACTTGTCCGGGTCGGAAACATATAGCGGCGTCGATGTCGAATAACAACAGAACAGCCCATTAAACCAACGAATTTGATGACGGCGAAGAATTCCAATGTTTACCAAACCATCCGGTCGCCCTTTCATCATAATTACGAGGCTCAGGGAACCGTAAAAACCACATGATGAAAGGCGGTAAACGAAAGAAAAGAAACAGTTTCACGTACCTAAATTATTTACAAGCGCTTCACCACGTGCGTAAAAGGAGAATCGAAAATAAAAATTACTACTGAAGGATTGTCGTCTACGTGACATACAAAAAAACGAGGAACGGAACGGAACGGACTAACATAAAACCTTGTTGAGGAATAGCCTCAACAAAACTGAATAATGCACCTTAAGAGCGTGTCTCTGTAATTTCCGACCAATCGAAGTTGGTTTAAAAATAAATCTTTCCTTAAACTTTGCATGTGGGTAAGGAAACTACTGCCTATCATCGGAACAAAAGTGGTTTCCTCAGATTTCAAAAGTTTTTTATTTTTGAACAATTTTCCGCACGTGAGTCGAATCGTGAAATTGACATCA